CTGAGTGGTATCCTTGCCTAGGGGGGAACCTCTGGGGTCCTGGGTACCCCAATCCCTGAGTGCCATCCCTTCCTTTTGGGGGAATGAGAGCATCTCTGGGGCCCTGGGTACCCCAGGGATGCTCTGAGTGCCCTCCCTGCCTTTGGGCAAACAGGGCATCTCTGGGTGCCCTGATCCCTGAGTGCCATCCCTGCCTTTGGGGGAACAAGGGCATCTCTAGGTACCCTGATCCCTGAGTGCCATCCCTTCCTTTGGAACGAGGGCATCTCTGGGTTCCTGGGTACCCCAATCCCTGAGTGCCATCCCTGATTTTGAGGGGAACAAGGGGATCTTTGGGCTCCTATCCAGCCCAATCCATCCTGTGGGCTCTGCAGGGCTCCAGAGCCAGCTCTGGCCCTTGGCACCCCCTCATTGCCCAGCTGGGCCCCTGTGCCAGCTCCCTGTCCCAGCCCTGGCTTTGCCAAGGCCAGAGGAGCAAGCTGGAGCTGTGGGGCAGCAAATTCAAATTTCATCTCTGCCCTCCCCAGGGGAGGTGCCAAACGAGCTGGTGGTTGTGCTAAAAGCTTTTCCTTCTCTCTTTCAAGAGGTTGCTGGGAGGAAATGGAGTGACCCAGTGGCCTCTGTTAATGTGCAGCACAAACGAAGCTGCTGCTGCTGCAAGGAGGAGCCCCCAGTGCAGCCCTCTGCCTGCAAGGTGTTTGCTTCCATTGATGTGTCTAATGGGAGCAATTCTCCCACAGCAGCTGCTGCAAATGAAGATATTTAATCATCTCCTAGACCCTGGTGGAACTTTTTGCAGAGAATTTCTTTAAAATCGCCCTTCTCACACAATCAGGCGAAACACGAGAGAAGCCCAAGTGCTTTTTTTAAATTTCTTTAATTTTTTAAAAATTTTTTTTTTGGTGATTTATTTCTCCAAGTTGTCATATTGAAATGAATGCAGGGTTCCTCCCTGCTGGATTTTTTTCAAACACACAGCAAATGTTTCAATTACCAGCTCCGTGGGGGCTAAGAACAGGTAACATATGGCAAAATATGAGAGGCTGTGGATGATGCCCCATCCCTGGGACTGTTCAAAGCCATGTCTGAGTAACCTGGTCTAAAGGAAGGTGTCCCTGTCTCCAATATGGTTTTTAAAGTCCCTTGCAGCATTCTGTGTTCCTGTGAGCAGTTCTGCCCCATCCCAGTGTCTGTCACTGTGGCTTCCAGCAGCATTTCCCTCTCTGATTTCTCTCGAATGCTTTCAGCAGCATTTCCCTCCCTAATTTCTCTCAAATGCTTCCAGCAGCATTTCTCTCTTGGTCCCTGAGCACCAAGGCAGCCAAACCCCCTCCTCCTGTATCCCCTCCATTCCCAAAGTAGCTTAAGGGAGTTAGGTGTCCAGCACCCTCTGAAACGGGACTTGCTGGGGGGAAAATCTTCAAAAGCATCTTAGCAGCTTAGCTTAAGTCCCTTTGACTCCCAGGGGAACTTAAGCTCTTAAGAAATGTGGGTGCTTCGGAGCATTTCACCCTCTGTGCCTCGCTCCCCTGGCTCCTGGCTGCCTCCCAGCAGCTGCTCCTTGCAAACACTCCTCACTTTTATTATTTTTAATAATGCCCTGTGCTTACAGGCTGCACACATGGCCTTGCTTAGAGCTGGAGATTAGGCAGCACACAGGAATGAATGTCTTACAGGAGCTCCTTTACTGTAAGAATTAATCTTATTCCTGAAATGTGACTGTATCTAGCACAAATCTGACCCCACTGGGGGCCATGGCTTCACTTAATTGCATTCTTTAGCAAGGATTGAGGTCTATTAGGTGGTTTGCTTGTGTTGCAGGGGATCCTGTGCCAGGGAATTTAGTGAATTTTGCAGCTCTGTGGAGCAGCACAGGAAAAGTGCCATTATGTTGGCTTGGCTGGTGCCAGCAGCTTGGCTGGGTGCTCAGGGACAGGCAGGGGTGAGCAAAGCTGCTCCAGAGAGAGCAAGGTAAGCCCTGAGGAGAGGTGGCAGAGCCCTTTGGGATTGGAGCTTTCATCAGAGCAATTCCCACTGGGTTTCAGCCTCCTTGTGCGGCAGCAAGGTGATCCGCACTGGGGGCAGGAATTGTGTCTGTTCCCATTTCCAGGGCAAGCTGTGCCCCAGCCTGTCCTCCCCGTCCTCAGGGGAGCCAGGTGGGTGCCCATCCTGCTGTCCTGGCAATCCCTCATGCGGGCACGGAGCTGCTCTGAAGGATGAGCTGCTGGATTGAAGCTGACATGCCCTAATATCTGTGCCAGCACTCTGTGTCTCCGGCAGGGGCTGGGGAAGCATGTTAGCACTGGAGTGGAAGTGTCACCCTCTGGCATCTCCTCCCTTCGTCTTGGAGCTGTTCTGGATCCCCTTTTCCAGACCTTCTCCTTCAGAGCCCATTACAGGGCAGGAAAAGCCGTGCTGGGTGTGGGAGGGTGGCGCTGCCAGGCTCCTCTCTCTGGGGGAGGCAAATTGAACATTTCCCTGACATTCAGCTCCATCCCGGGGGGACTCTGGGGATGTGCTGCTTCTCTTGGCTGCTCTCAGCTGTGGAAGATCATTGGTGCCGTGTCTGGGGAGCACAGGAGGCTCAAGGAGGTGTTTGGTGGCATTTTTGGCGCTGGTGGGGGTGGAGATGCTGCTCTGATGAAGGAAAACGGGAGTTTCTGAAATGGTGGCTGAGCCAGCGGGGTTTGTTGGGTTTTATTTTAATACATTTTTATTTCATTTATTTATTATATTTATTTTAATTTAATACCTAATAATAATACATATTTATTTTATTTTAATACTTGAAATAGCCGGGTGCATCCTTGTTCTGTGCAGTGCCAACCTCGCTGGTGGGAATGGGACTGAAGGAGGGAGAGCCAGGGAGCTGCAGCCCAGCTCTGTGTGCTGTGCTGTGCTGTGCTGGCACCACTGCCACATCCCCACTTTAATTAACAGTTCCCATCACAGCCATTCACGCTGTTCCCACTCTCTGCTCGCCCCTGACAGCCACAAAAGAAACCCCAACGTGCTGTTCTGTGCCCTGGAACCCTGTGAACCCCAGCTAGGGCTGGCTGCAGCCTCTCTGTGTTTCTCTGAGTGTGTCTAGAGCAAACATTTGAAGAGATTCCCAGTGATAGGATTGGGGTTTTTTTTCCCTTTTTTTGTTCCAGTATTTGTGCTCTGAAGCACGGTGGATCTGGGCTAGCACAGAGCACACAGCAGAGGCTTTGTAATCCTCAAAGTGCAAAGCTTCTCTCTGAAAAGTTGTTCTTTAGGCCTGAGTACGTATGGGGACGTCTTGTTTATCCTGGTTTTTCTTTTAATTTTGCACACTTCAGCCTTGGAGAGTTAATGGGACAGAAAAAGATGAAAATGCCCCTTCACACTGCCTGTCCCGACGCTCTCCCGCCCTGATGTGTGTCAGAAAGCTTCAACAGCCTCACTATCCCCTTAGCCCTCTCAAAGCCTTTGATCATTGCACAGTATCTCCTACCTGGCTCTCCTCCAAAAGGTGATAAACCCTGGGTTTGATTTCTAATTGGAGCAACGATAGCGGGAAGGAATCCGTCAGATCTGAGCGATGCTCGCCCAGCTCTGGCCATTATCCCTGATGGAAACCTCTGAGCTGCCAACGCCATGAGGAGGCTGTGGCTGCAGCTCCACTCTATTTTCAGCCCTTCTGGGGCAGGTCCCACCCGCGTGGCTGAGGGAAGCATTTCCCAGTGCTGACACACAGCGCTGAGGTGGTGGGTGAGAACACACAGCTGCCCTAATGGCGCTCCAGCTTTGCACAGGGATCAGGGTGAAGCTGTGGGCAGGGAGCTCCCTTTGGAGGCAGCAGTGGTCTCCATGGAAATGTGCTGGCAGGGTGAGGGCAGCAGGCTGGTGCTGAGCTGGAGCTGCCCCTGCTGCCGCGTTCTGCCACGTCCAGGGCAGAACTGCTCAGGAGAAAATCTCCCTCACCTCCCATGGAGGCTGTGTGGGCTTGATCCACCAGGATCAGCCATGGCACACCCTGCTCCAGGTATTCTTCCTTGGTAAGAACATGTATTGTCATTGTCTTCCTCAGTGACACCGTTCCTCTCTGTGCTGCAAGTGGGGAAACTGAGGCACTGAGTGGGTAGGGTTTCTCAGACTGCTGCAGCCTCAGCCTTGCTGGAGCATTTCCAGTGTGTGTTTGCTGTGCAAAAGGGGCTCTGGGACACCCCCATGACACCTGGCTCTTGTGGTGGGGGAGCACAGCCTGTCTGGGCAGGAGCATCTCTCTTGGGGGGGATTTGTTGCTTTCCTTGCTGGGTTTTTCATGTGTGAGGTTTTATATTGGAATTAAATCGGTTTTAGGTTTGCTTCTTTGCCCTGTGCTTTTGTGGAAAAATCTCCCTTTCGGAGGGTCCTTGGGTCCTGTGCTGGGGAAGGGGGGAGAACCTGATGGGTTAAAGTCCTGATGGGTTAGAGCTGGGCTGAACCTGATGGGTTAAACATGGGCTGGCCTCTGCCCATGGGGCTGGGCTTAAGCCATAGAGGTAGGGTCACACCGTGGAGCTGGGCTCTGTCCATGGAGCTGGGCTCATATCATGGAGTTGGGCTCATCCTGTGGAGCTGGAGCCCCTGATGGAGCTGGGCTCACCCCATGGAGCCAGGTGGGTGCTCAGTGCCGCCCCTCAATGCCACCCCGGGGAAGGTGCCCATGTCCCTGCAGGCCCGTGCACTGCCATGGCCGCTCAGGCCCTGCCCACCCCCTGGCCATCCCCAGCCCCTCAGATCTGCCCCTTTGTGCCCACAGGTGCTGACCAGGCTGGGGAGACGCCGCTGACCAGGCTGAGCCGGAGCCTGCCCGGCCGGGGCCCAGGGCCTGCGCAGAGGATGAGGATCCTTCCCAGCCCTGGAATGTCTTCGCTGCTGTCCCTCGTGAACGTCCTCTCCGTGCTGCTGATGGACTGCCTTGCTGAGAGTGAGTGACTCTGCTGTTCCCTGCTCCTTCCTTCACCATTCTCAGTAGTTTTTCATTTTCCAGCACCCTTAACTCTCCACCAGTGCCTTCCCAGCCCCACAGGCAGCTGGGTCCTCACAGCCTGCTTTGAGTTCCAGGTTGTTCCCAAGAGCTGGAGAGAAGGGGGGAAGCTGCCTGAGAGCCTTCCCCCACCTTTTCCAACCCCATCTCACCCATTTTGTCCCCTCCTGCTCCTGCCTTTCACTGGTGACCATTGTCACGTTCCTTTCTGGGGCTGGATTCCAAACAGCATTTCAAGAAAGAGCATTTATGTTTCTCCTTCCCCTGAGTGAACCAGTTCCAGTCCAACACAGGTTTTATCTTTGCTGCTTTTCAATTCCTGCTTTAAAAAATGAAAAGGGGAAGGAAAAAAGAAAAAAAAGAAGTGAAAATCTTCAGCAACTTGAGTGTAATGTTCCTTTGACATGAAGGCTGATCGCTTGGGATCAGTGGGGAATAGACTTTTCCAGGCTGATTGAATTATGAGGTTTTTTTTCCTCCCCAGCAAAGCTGCTTGAAGCTGGTGAGAGGGCTGCTCTGGTCAGCGCAGCCCTTGACAGCTTTTCACGTAATCACTTGGTTATCAGGGTTTATTAGGATGACGGGGATTGAATGGATCCGCGACCTTTTGTTGCTGGGAGATGTTTTTGGAAGGGTCCTTTCCATCCTCTCTGCAGCAGGCAAGTGGGGATGTGCCTGCCCTTGCCTCTCTCTGAGTTTTGCTGGGTTCATGCTTAATCCCTCTTTGCAGAGAGGAACACTCACGTGCAGGAAGATAATGCTGTGTTTTATTCTTTTTGCATTTTGTGAGTCTGGTGAGTGAGCTGGGCTCTGGGAGGTTCATGGTGGGGTGATCAGTCTGCACCTCAAATGGTGTCCAAAAAGTGACCCACAGCTTCAGCTGAGCTGTGTGGAGTGGCAGCAGCACTGCAGAGTGTGGCAGGGAATTGCCTTTTGCCCCAGGATTTATCCAGGGATTTATCCTATGTTGGTGATGGAGCTGATGCTATGCAGGGTCTTTATGAGCACCCAGAGTCAGTGGGGGCTGCTCTGTGGGCTCAGGGTGGCTTTGTTGGCTGTGAAACTGGGAATCTCCATTCCTGGCTCTTGGTGCAGTGCAGTCAGGAGAGGAATCGGTGGAAATCTGGAGTCTGGGCTCCAGAGTCTTGTTCTTGCCACTGGTTTCCTATAACAACACTTGGCAAAATCAGTTTGCAAAGCAAACTGCAGCTCTGCAGGATGGAGAGCTCAGGTGTTCTGCAATTGATACCTGAGTGCCTGTGAAAATTGGGGTCCACTTGAATTTTTAGTGCACAGGGGTCTTGTGTGCTCAGTGCTGACAGGGACATGGCAGCATCAAGGCTTCTCCAAACCATGGCTGAGTGACCTCAGTTCTCTCGTGCTTTTCATTTTCCTGGGAAGGAGCAAACAATCTTGTGTGTCCCTCCTCTTTGGGGTGAGGTTTGCTCAGGGATTCCAGCAGAGCTGGGAGATTCTTTGTGCTGCCTGGCTGCTACAGAGCCCTTTTGGGGAAATTGTGCCCTCAGGAAGGGTTGGTGCTGGCCACACACAGAATGCACCCGTGGTGTGGCCTGAGCCCTGCTGAAATCTCTCTGCTCTGCAGACACCTTGCTGCTTGCAGCCAAGTTTCCCTCTCTTGTAGCTCTGCAGTGTCCTTGGATCCTGAACTGGGAGGGTTTGGTGCTGTTTTCCCTCTGGCTGCTCGCAGATGTCCGTGCAGGAACTTTGCAGCTTGCTGGGATGGGGCTGGCTGCTCTTACCTGCTTGCTGTGCAGATGTTGGGCCAGATGTTGTGTCTGCTCTTGACCTGCAGCGTGCCAGCACCTCCCTGCCCTGTGCCCTGGGGATGCTGCCTGGTGCCAGCTGTCTCTGGAGCTCCCAGCCTGCTGAGGATGAGTGTGCAGCGAGCTGGTGATGGTTCCTGCCCTTGGAGGGGCTCCTGGGTGATCCCATTGCAGCCAGGCTGAGCTGCAAGCAGCAAACAGCTTTGTCTGTCACGGCTGCAGAGCCTGTGAGAGGAGCTGTCCCTGCTCTGACAATGTCCCCTCCCATCAGATGGCCCCGGGCTCTGTCACATCCCTGTAATCCCTTGGCCAGCTTCCATTTGGCCACGGTGCTGACCCCATTTCTGCCCTGATTCACCCCAGGCCCTGCAGCCCCCGGGCACACCGTGCTGGGAAGAGAGATGGGAAACCCCTGGGATTGTGGATTTTGGAGGGCATCACCTCCCAGCCTGGCAGGGAGCAGATCCCAGAGCCTGGGCTGAGCTGGGGCTCTCCTCTCTCCCAGTGCAGCTCTGTGGCCTCTGCAATCAAAGGACCATTAAAATACTTCCCTTCTCTCCCAAGCTAATTGATCTCAGTCAGTGATTTAAGTCTTTCTGTGGCAGGAGCATTCTATTTAAAGGAAACTGCCATTTAAATTAAAAATCCAAAGCACCGCGCTACTTTCTGCCCGCTGTTCCTCCTTGGGAAGCTGAAGAGAACAATAATTGAAAGGTGTGACACAGGCATGTTCTTTCTCTTTTCTCTTTGGTTGAATATGGACATTTTCTTTGTTTCTTCCATGCGCTCAAAGGCAGCCATGGAACTGGAAATTACTGATTCCATTATTATTTTCAGCCATTAAATGGAAAGTGTGATCCTTTCCTTGGGAGTTCTGCTGTTTGTGTGAGTACCATGGATTGGCATGGCTGCAGGGAATTAGGGAGGCATCCCCAGGAGCTGCACAGCCAAATGTGCCCCTTGGAGCTGAGAGGAACCAGGCAGCAGAGACAGATGAGTCTGGGGAGAGGAATTGCTCCCAAATTGCTGATGGACCCGGGCACAGCACCAAGCCTTGCTGTTTCCTGTTCACACACCCAGAGCCACAAAACCTCCATGGTGAGAACCCTAAAACTTTTGATTTTGTGTGTGCAGAATAACTGAGCACTCCAAAACCTTTTATTCTGTATGTGCAGAATAACTGAGAATCCTAAAACCTCCTAATCTGTGTGCAGAATAACTGAGAATCCTAAAACTTCTTGTTCTGTGTGTGCAGAATGAGTGAGCACCCTAAAACCTCTCATTGTGTGTGTACAGAATTAATGAGCACCCTAAAACCTCCCATTCTGTGTGTACAGAATAACTGAGAACCCTAAAACTTCTTGTTCTGTATGTGCAGAATAACTGAGAACCCTAAAACTTCTCATTTTGTGTGCAGATTAAATGAACACCCTAATACCTCTCGTTCTGTATGTGCAGAATGAGCACCCTAAAACCTTTTATTCTGTATATACAGAATAACTGAGAACCCTAAAACCTCCCCTTCTGTGTGTGCAGATTGAGCACCCTAAAACCTCTCATTTTGTCTGTCCCTGGTGTGGCTGGGCAGAAGCTGCTCCTGCCCAGATGTGCAGGGCACAGCTGCTTTTGGCCAAGGGCAGTGGTCAGGCCCCTGTGCCCCCCAAAGGAACCACGTGCCCCCTCCAAGTGCTCCTCAGTTGCACATAAAAAGCCATTTAGTGCAAGGAAATGTGGCCATTTTTCTGACTGGAATCAGCATGCTCGCTGTTTTCAAGTGGATTTTTCTCATTGATTAAACCTTTGTGTTTTACAGTAGCACTTTGCTAATTGGCACTTTGCATACACAGAAGGCTGGTGCATGGCTCTCTCCACCCCAGCAAAGATTTAAGGGCAGGGAACATTACTTATTACTTACATTTCCTTCCTTTTATAAATCACCATATAGAAGCCTTACCAGCACACTCTGAAGTATTACCATAAATAATTAAATCTAAATTGCAATTGACAAAATAAAAGAATAAAGCCCCTTTTATGATGCATTACCCTGGCTTTCTTCCCTTTTAATTGCCCTTGCTCCATCATTAATTTGCAGAGCGCAGTAATTCATGGGAGGTGCATGTGAGGGGGGCTCTGTGAGCATCCAGCAGAGGCAACAGCCAGGTCTGCAGCACATGGGGCTCACAGAGGTGGTGGAGAAGCTGTGGTGGGATGGAGAAGCTGTGGTGGGATGGAGAAGCTGTGGTGGGATGGAGAAGCTGTG